TAATAGGGAAAATAAATGAGTCCTGGGATTGTACAGAGCTGTCATGAAGAGGAAAATGTCTAATGGTTCAATTCCCAGCTCTGTCACTGAACCACTCTGGGACTTGGGGAGAAGTCAGTTCGCCCATCTGTAAAATGGGATTTATAATGCGTTGCTTCTCAGGGGGATTGAAGGAGTATGAGTAGCATTGATGGAATGCTCCGTGCACCTTGGATAGAAGGGGCAATAGCCCTGTGAAGTGCTGTCCTTAATAGATACTTAGAGGAGTTTCCTTCACTGTGGTACTTATCTGACCACAGCAGCCGAGTGCCTCACAGCTACTGATGGATATTTTTTTTCCTATTACCTCTCTGCATCATAGGCATGTTGCACAGGAAAGCAAGGCAAATGGCAAACTGAATGAAATGGACCCAGTTGCATAGAGAATATGTAGTAAAGTCAGGAGTAATCCTTTATTACCTAAATTTCTGCCACATCCATTAGTCTTTGCTCCTAGCCCTATGGAATTTGTGATCTGAAAGCATGAGGGAAAGCTACCTTCCCTTCTTCCTACACTGGTCAGTCACACTCTGGCCATCTTCCTGCTGCATAAGGAGCAAGTGGTCTGAAATGGGAGTCAATGTTTATTATGCAATAGGCTATTTACTATCATAACATTTGTGTTTCTTTCACTTGCTAAGAGTCATTTGGTGAGATGTTAATCCAGTTCTCCACAGTGAATGTTCTGGCTTTCACAGGATGTCCAGAAAACATTTAGCCTGCTGTCACTTCTTTTCAGGACAAAGGAAGTAGAAGAGCCACACATACAAGTGACACCAGCTCCAGTTTAACTTTGGTCAGAGGGCATTAGGAAACACTAGGCAGAACGTGATAGCTGCAATGTCAACTAACAAGATGGAAAAAGTGGAGATAAGAACAATAGCCACAGATAAACAGCAGTCAGGTTCTCGATACTCACACAATTCAAAAGAGACACAACTACAAGTTTATTTGTTATCTACCAAGACATTTATCAGCCAAAGAAAAGCGGAGGCACATGGTCTAAGAAAACAAAATGCAGCATGTGTACACAAATCCAACCAACTCTGAGAGCAAAACCCGTTTCCACCAAATCAAAAGTACCTGCTAAACCCTCTAACAAACACTTGAGCCACTTGGCACAGCCAGTCCAAAAAGCTTATACTAATCCAGTCAAAGCATGCAGTTTACCCAGATCTCTTTGTCTTTATGGCATTTCACCTGCTCCCAGGAAGAGGCAGCCACTTGTTCCAGCCCAGTGCACCATCCAGCTCACCCCAATGCCCAAGCACCATCCTGCTCAACCCAGCTCCTCAGGAAAGCATAAGCCAGTCTTATAGGCTCTTGTCAAGCATATTATAAAGAGATATACTGTACAGGACGGCTTATAATATACATTTACTTCAGATTCACTCAGAGAAACAACATACTCCAGCCCAACTCCATCCAGTCACACAGACTCCAGGACATTAAATTAACTCTCCACCAAATTTACTGCAAGCCATCTGACCATACCATTTAGCCACAGTAAAGACAAAATCTATACGTAGCTACAGTCAGGAAAGCAGGCAACTCTGTTGAAAACCTATTTATATCACTCAAGGAGATCAATGGAGAGCCCAGGCCTGGAGGCCACTGACCTTGGATTGACACAAAACTTAAAGGGAAAAATTAATGGTGTCAACTCAAGAGACCACAGCTCTTATTTCAGAGGATTCTGCAGCCAGCCCTGCAGCTCACTGATCACAAAAAGGGGCTTAAGGAGGGATCCATTTTTAGGACACAGAGCAAATACTCACCCATTGCTGGTGCAGGAGCTGCTTCCCCAGACACCCCGATGGCTGCCAGCAGCACACAGCAGGTCCTTGGCAGCAGCTGAACCTCCCCAGGTCCACGCTAGACATCACCAGATGATGGAGGACACAAGCAGTGGGGCTTCTGGAAGAAGTTTCTCCTCAGGATGTCCCGAAATGAGGCTGTGCCCAGCCTTCCATGGGCTGTCTCCACAAGATCCTCCCTCAGGGGCTTTCTGCCCAAGGAAAGGTGAAGACAGCACAAGGGGGAGGCAGGACACTTGTCCAAGGAGTCTTCCACCCGAGGGTTTCTCAGTTCTGCCTCAACTCTTCCTCAGCTGCAGCAGCCCAGGGCAGCACCAACCCCTGAGGTGCCATGCAGGCCTCTAGCAGCCACAAAATGGCTGCCGGTGGGGGAGAGGCTGCCCCATCCCCGCCTTGCTGAGGTACCAGTGCTTCACCGTGGAGGTAACACAGCCAGCGCCCACTACATGGACAACGAGGCAAGGCTTCCATGGCAGAACACCAACGTTTGTGCTGTGCCACCAGCTCCTGCTGCTCCTCCGGCAAAAATGAGGGAAATGGCGGCTGCTCCAGCCCACCAACAGGCACCTCAGCCTCACAGAGACCCTGAGGAGACACCGACCCACCAGACACAACACCGGCTGCTGAACAACCCCCCCGTGGTGTAAACCCCAGCCATGCTGAGGTAAAACTGCCAGGAAAGGCTTTTGAAGGGGGAAGAAAAGCCCCCACCCTGCCCCAGCTGGTGCTGGTTTAGAGACATCATCTGAAATGGGATTTGCCTCACCTGGCATGGCTGTGAGGTAAGCCCTGGAGGAAAGGGACACGTTTATTAATGTATTTTGCTGTTTATTCTTCAATTAAAATGACAAAAATTAAGTCCTGGAAAGAGCAGTTCCAGGCAGGGTGACGTTCAGTGGGTGTTACAGAGACAGGTTTTAGTGCTGGACATGGTGGGGTGCCTCTGCTGCCATTAACACCTCTCACTTAGAATCACTGAATCATTAGGGTTGGAAAGGACCTTAAGATGATCTAGTTCCAACCCTCCTGCCATGGGGGTTCACATTAATACAACCAGCTTTAGCCTAGACCTTATTTTTGGCTATACAGGCCTGTGCACACCAGGGCTGTGCTCTCTAATACAGCCATGCAGGCCCACTGGGATGCAAGTGACAGCAGCATGGCCATGCTCGGAGCTTTCATTTGCTATGAGGCTTTTCTTTTTCATTATTATTCTGATTTTCATCACCTTTTTTTTGCCCTGGGAGAGCCAGGAGGCTGCTCCCCCAACCCGGGACCAGTAGCTCCCAGTCAATGTCCAACCCCAACGCGTGCAGCTCTTTCAGCGGAGCTGGCTGCCACATTGTGGCCCGCTCCCCCGAACGTCCCATCTGGCTGATGTAAAACACACATGTTTTGACTGAAGCTTTTTCTTTAAAATGCCAACATTAAAGGAAGGTTTGCTTTGTAAAACTGAAACTGTAAAACTCTTCTGAAACCCAATCTGGGGGATTAAAAGAACCACATGAAAAGGGATAAATATGACCTGGACATTTACTTCCTGTGCAGAAGTTCGCTCAACATGTGCCTCCCAGCCTGTCAGTGTGAAACAAGACCTTCTGCTCGGATCTGCAGAAGGGGAGGAAAAGAAAGGAGAAGAAAAGAGGAAGACAGGAAATTTTGTCAACTGACAACTCTTTTCTATCGCACGGCTCATGTCAGAGGCATTGGTTTCTTTACAGGGGCATCTCAGGCACTTTTAAGATACAGAAAGTATCTTAACCAGATACTTTCTGGTTAAGAAACTTAACCAATATCTTAAGAAACTTAACCAGTATCTGACCGGAAAGATACACAACTAGTAATAAGAAATTTAGCCTTAATAGGCAAGCTCTTCTTAATCATACTGCATGGTATAAAATTGGGCTTGATCCATCTTTAACTGGGAGTCAGTGGCAGAACTCCTTTGGAATTCAGTGGGAATAAGATCAGACCTAAAGATATGATGGACCGAGTCCAAGGATTCTCTGATGATGTGCAGAAGAAACACATGGATAGATAAACAGATCTTCAGTTAGTCAGAAAATGGCTCACTTTCAAACAAACTGATGCAAGATGTTTGCATCAGTATTGCCCATTTCAACTATTAAAGCTCATAGTTGGGTTCCGAAAAAAAAACAACTTTACTTAAATATTATGAGACTTGAATGAAAAAAGTTACAGATTCTCTGTATTTGCTTCCTGAATGTTGAATCTTTAAGAAGATGGAGCATTTCTTCTGGTTTCCTTAACAAATAGTGAACTGCTGGAAGCTTGATCTTTTTTAACCGAAGCTGACGTTGTGATTTATTATAGTATGATTTCAGAAGATCAGACTTAGGGAAAAAAAAAACCAACACAGAAGAGCAGGCAATAGATTAAAGTCACAAGTGTTCTCAAAATAGCTTTGTGATCTAAGGTGCCAATATATGAACTGCAGAGGATAAAATGCAATATAATGTAAAATCTGGCATTGCCATTCTGTGCTGGGGAAAAAAAAATCCCCAGTCAAATTCTTTAGAAGCCAGTTACTAATTTAGGATTATATTTTCCCTTTGCCCCCCCATGCTGTGAAATTACACTGATAGTGGCTTTAGTTGCCCAACAGTCATAATTTGGAGAAACACAACTGAAATACATAGGGAGCACAGACACACTTCCAACAGAAAACACTGGAACTCCACACCTGCCATGTTGTGGGGCACCTTCTTGCACCACTGGCTTGTAACTGCTGCAGTAGCTGACCCTGTGGATGCACATGCAGGATGCAGCTTGAATCTGAGTTTGACATTCCCTGTAGCTTGGGGTGCTTGAATCAGGAGTTTGCTCAGTCCCACTATTGTTTGAGTGTTTTGGTGGTTTGGTTGGTTGTTACGTCTCGGTTGCAACTGGTATTCTTGGCTAATGCTCCCTGTCCCCTGTGTGAGATGCAGAAACCCAATAATCCCACACCATAGCACATCCCTTTCCAAATATCCTCTCATCTTAACTGGGTTTCATCTTTGAGATGGAAAGTTCATCTCTTCTGCTTGCAGCCTTGCTTGTCTAATTCCTACTGAAGCCTTTCAGAACCTCTGCTATTGCATAAAGCTGGTAAAAAAAAACAAACAAAAACCTTCTTCTGGCCAAATTTAAACAAACACTTTTATAGTTTCAAGTCAGAATCAAGCAAAAGAAAGGTGCATTTCAAAGTCATTGTTCAATGGAGAAAGAGCAGTTCCCAAGTTCTTCCCAAATCCAAAGTGGACAGTTCCTCAGTGATTTCCAAGCCGGAAAGAGGCCATTTTATGAGCCAGAAAGCATCCATTTTCTGCGTCAGTCCTGAGCCAGAGAGGGTAGTGTCTGAGTCAGTTCCAGGGGGGAAACGTCTGGCACTTCTCCAAGCTTGGGAGTGTTGCTATCACAGCAATTGTTTGGTGATGCCATCCCAATAAAGCTTCATTATGGCGTTCCTCTTTCCATAAACTTCAGTGCCCTCCAGTGTCCCCAGCAATCACTTATCTAATATTAGGATATTAAAAAATATGGAAAGATTTTAAAGAGACTTATTAAAATGCAATTAGCGGCGTGTACGACTTAAGCAGTGAGATTACTTAAAAAAACAAGTTGATTGTGTGGAATGCCACGCACCTTACCCAGATAATAAAGCTGTCAGTCAAGCCCAGCTTCAAATGAGGAAATTTTCATTCCTTTTTTACAGCCCCCTAAGTGAAGATTAAAACTGATTATTAACCTCGGAGTGTAGCAGCAGCCCCTAAGCCTGCAAGCTCGGAATGGAAGGTTTCATAACTGTTGGTAGCCTGGGCTTCATTCCCCATTTGGCCTGAGAGCTCTGTGCTTATTTAAAGGGACAGTGCTCAGCCTTTGAATCAAGATATCTGAAAAGTGATAGAAAGGGTCATAGAAAGGGGGAAAGCTCCAGATCTTGACATTGCAACTTGAGAGGCCTGTAATGACCCTGCCTCGATAGGACAGAGCGGCTCTGCCATCAATGAACTGCAGGTAAGGCTGCCCCCTGATGTCCAATCTGGGAATCTCAGCAAGTCCTTAAACTCCAGCACGTAACCTTCGTTTTGTCCAAGTGAAAACGTGTAGATTAAAGGAGTGTTTATATGGGAACACGTACCTTTGTCATACCCAGGCTGCTGAGCACAGATTCTCGGTGTATGTTATTATTCTCAGTTTCTGTTATGACTTCCCTTGCTAAATGTAGAACCATGGCATTTACCTTGCTGCCTTTTCATTTATTGTTTGCCCTGCTGAGAGACAACCAAGTGTGACACTTCCTGCTATTTGATTTGCTGGCATTTTTATTTCATTTATAAAACGGATCTTTCCCTGAGAAATTAAGTCACATTTCCCTGACAGGTTACTGCTTTTGCAGCTCTTTACTCTGCTGTCAAAGTGGATTTATTGATGCTTCCTGGATTTCTCTCCTCAAGCTCGCAAACTGGAAATGATGAATTCTCTGGAAGGCAGCAAGCTAATTCTTGACTTGAATGCTTTATTTGGGGATAAATACAATGATTCAAAGGGAGTTGCTTAAGAGGGGGTAGTCACTGATTCTGATTGCAAAGCTATTTTAGTATGTATTTAAGTATGTGCTTAATTTACATTTGCTGATCTCTTTGGGACCATGTGCAGGCCTGAAGGTATGTACTTGGGCACTTTAGCACACTGGTGCCAGGCTGCTCTGCAGGAATGAGAGTCCAGACACCATCTAAACAGGGAGAATGTCACTGAGTTTTGAAGCATCGAGGATAGAAGTTATTTTACCAGCACATGCATCTCATGACTGTAGCTCCCTCTGGAATCTAGCTATGGCACCTGGACCTATTTAGGATTCGCATGGAAGCTATCCACACATTTTTTCAAAGTAAATAATCTGCCTGGCTTGGATGATGGGGGTTAGGAGGATGACAAATTGGGTTTACAAAATGTCAGCAAGTGCCATGCTTTAAGTCAGGAACGAGTCACAAAGTGAAACAAGTTTAGTGACCAGGGTTCACCCTTGATCTGGAATTGGTATTTGTCTACATCACTGAATAACCACAAGTGATCCAGTATAATTTAGCATAACTGACAGTCCAGCGTCAGCAATATTATTGAGGTGGAGGAAGGGGAAAGATGTTGCTGCCTCTTTAGTCATGCCACAATTAACGAGAAGTGCTGAAGCAACAGAGGCCACAGAGGTGGCATTAGGTTCCCCAGGTCTCTGGGCTGAAAAGCAGCATCTCCAGCACACAGAATGTCTTGTGCTGCTCCTGAAGCTGGCAACGTGCCTCTCTTCTCTCCCAGACTGGAGAAGTGTTTTCCTGGCTCACCCTTTAAGCTGGTCTGGGTGGTGAATGCATGGAGTAGTTCAGTATGTTCATCAGGATGAACTGAGTATGTGGTATTTTAGGAGTGTGAAGGTTAGAAGGGAAAGACAGGCAGTATTGAGGTACACCAGTGAAGACATATGGAGACTCAGGGAGCTGTTCTTCAGCTTGATGGGTAGAATTGCATAGAATTGCACTTAAGAGTTCTGAAAGTAACTGTTGGCAGTAGAGTTCTTCGTTGGTTTTGTTCTGTTGTTTGGGGTATTTTTCCACAACCAACCATTCACTGCTAAGCAAAGTTTATGACTGGAAGCACACTGGCAATGACAAAGAGAATTAAGGAGATGTAATGGACACATAATCTTTGGGTTCATGAGACACAAAGTGTATGGTAATGCCAGCACAGTAAATAACTTAGTTATTAGCATACTCTAAAATTAGATTGAGCAGAAACAGCATTCACAGATACTGAAACAGCTCCTGGCAGAGGAGAGAGATTACTGAAAAGGTTTGAGTAAGTGCTGCAAATGGGTGATTGCCAGGCTGGAAAGCAAACTCCCAAAAGCATGAAGACTTTGTCCCAGAAGCTGCCTTGCATTCCGTGATTAGGATCAGCTTCAAGAAAAGCCTCACCATGGCTGCCGGCAGAGCCAGACATGAAAAGAACAAGCTCTACCTACTGCCAAATCTTCCAGCTGCAGCTTTGACAGCAGGAATTGCCCTGCAAGTCTGTGCTCCAGAAACTCCCAGCACAGTTTCCCAAATGGCAAAGCAGCAGGAAGTCTCTCATGCAGCAGTTCAAACACATCAGCCTAACCAGCTGAAAAAAAAACCTTGCATTATTTGCAGCAGCCTATTGAGCAAGACAAGTTTTGATCCAAATAGCCTTGAACATGGAAGAGGAGGACAACCAGCCGACACAGAGGTTGCTTCTATGTTCTCCGCTCCTAAAAACAGACATGGAAAATCTGAAATATGAATCTGTATTTTTATTTATTGCTGGAAGAGGGGAGAAGGAAGACTATCTAAAGCACCCCCGCACTAGAAAAGAGCAGTTCCCAAACCTGGGATCTTGCCACCCACTCTGAGCTTTCCCAACCCAAGCTGGGTGCTGCAGAATCCCTCTCCAGCTGCATCTCAGCAGTTCCCTCCAGGTGTCAGCCTTGCACTTCACATGAGATTCCCTTCCCTCAGCCACATCTGGAGTGAAGTGCTGTGGGTTCAGTGGAGAATCCTGACAAGATAACATCAGAGATCTTAAAATATTCAATGCATCCCCTAATTTCATTTCAGTATCATTATGGAATAGCACAGCACCACCAGCCCCCCCTCAAAACTGTAAGCCCAATGCCATTGTGTAAGGGAGGGGATCTAAATGGGCTTTCTACAGCATCTGCCAAGAGAACTGTGAACATTTGCCAGCCCAGAAACAGTTCAGGAGCCAGGACTCTCACTTAAGTTTTCCTTTTTTAGGATGTAATTGACGTGACTGTCCTTTCCTTGGCCTTAATTCCTAACTGCTTCCCAAGATACTAAAAGCTTCTGCTCCCCTCTGCACTGGTGCACATAAATCAGAACTACACCGAGATTTTTTCTCAATTGGATCTCCACGTGGTAGAGCCACTGGAAGCCAGAATGAAGGCAAGTACATGCAGGCCCGGCACATCATCTGACCCTGCTCTGGTTTCAGCCTCAAGATTATTGGCAGTGCTATGGGAAAGACAACAAATAGCAATGGATATTGTCAGGCACACCTGTAGCTATGGGATAGGACAGATAGCCTGGATGTCAGAAGCAGAATTCTCCTTAGGATGCTGCTGTAGTTTAGGATATTATCCAGAATTGCTACAGATCTGTAGGCAGGTCAAAGCTAAATGCAATGATGTGTGAAATCATGAAAACAGTGAAATCCTTTGACAACAGGAAGGGAGCTTTGTCAAGACTAAAGAGATACGTTTGAGATAAAGTTTGATATATTGTTTGAGATATGTGATGTGGATGGAGAAGTCTGCAAGAATGCACTGTTTGCTTCAGACTTAACTGTCTCAATGTCATGAGTAGAAATCAGAGCCTCAGCAGCCTGTGTGGAGATGACAAAACTGGGCTGAGTTCAGGTGTTTCATTCTTGTCCTGTAGGTCACCAAAGAGCTATTGGGCAGCAACAACTTTCAGTAACTACTGAGCTGGGAAGGCTTCAAATACAGGCTGTGGGTGGCTCAGAAGATCTATATGCCATTAATTGTCACAAGACAAGCAGCAAACATGATAATGGATGCAGTTTTCCACAAGGGCTTTCAAAAAGTCTGAGCGCTTCAGGATTTTAATAGCTGGTACGAGAGAGTCTCTCATACAAGGCCAATTCTGGGTGTCAGGGTTCACCAGTTTTCCACTATGGACTTTCAGAATGACCTTGAGGAACCTGCCTTACCCCAGTACCTCAGTTCTCCAAACAGTTGCCTACAACATTAACTGGCCACAGTTGGATTCATTGCATTATAAATGGAAGGGCACTAAAAAGACATGGAAGAATTCAGGAAGAGAAAGATAGACTTCTATCACCTCTGGCAGGTTCAACTGCACAAAAAGTCCATTTGGTCACATCTGGTTGATCGGTAGCTCTCACCACTCTCATCAAGAACCACTTGCAGTTCTACGAGCATTAGTTCTCCCCTTTCCTCTGCCGTCAACTATTCCTCATGTAAAGGTCTTGCTCTCCTTTCAAAATTACCTGTATTAAGGCAAATTATGTGTTCTCTCCCTTTCCTTGTTGAAAGTCATTTACATGAAGAATCACAGAACTGAGGTTATAGATACTGGGGGAGGGAATGCTGAAATATAGCTAAGGCTGGAGATTTGGGTGGGCCTGGATTTATGGTGGACAGGCAAAGAACAAAGGTCTGATGTCAGAGTAAATCATTTCTATTGCAAATGATTTAAAATAATGAAAACCCATATGCATTAAATTTTGCCCTGTACATCCATTTGACATATTTTAAGTAGACAAAAGATAGATTTTACATAAATCTTCAGTAAATGTACTTCGAAAAAATATCACCAGGCAGTAAAACCTAAACCACTTTAAACCCAGCCTTTGTCTTATACTTGAGCTCCTGCTTCAGGGTGCAGGGTTTAAAACCAGCAAGAACTACCCCAGACTGCCCATTCCTTGAAAGAAAAGGACAAAGCAAAGAAGGAAAATGGGACAAAGCAGCTTTGAACAGATCCTGCCAACGTTGTCCTTCACTCTATGCCAGGTCTTACAGCTGCTGCATCTTACCCAAGCTACCTGTGGCTTTGCCTTTGAAGAAGCCTATTTCCAGCCTCCTGTGTAAATAGTGGTGTTTGTGTTCAACAGTTGGGATGTCACACACCACACCTGCAACTGTACAGACTCAAAGCTAGCTCTCTAGCACAGTTCCCAGTGTGGGGATTTTGTCCTTTGGTTTATGACCCTCTGTGCTGATGGAAGTTCTTGCTCTTCTATGCTGGGAGTCACTACATGATCTAGGGAGAAAAGCCTCTGAATCACAGCTCCAATATGCTGTAAGAGGCAACAAATTCCTTTGGAAGATGCCTGGCACATCTTCACCAGGAACTCAGCGCTGGGAACTGACTAGATACCTCTGAGAATCCCAGGCACCAACTCTTCCCAGGCTCTGCTGTGGATGGTCCAGAAAGGCAAGGGAGGTGACTCTGGTTTGATGTGACTCTGCCAAACAAAACAGAATGAAGTGAATTTTGCATTCTCTGTGTACAAGATGCAAAGATCTGACGGTTCCCACAGGTACCAATCAAACAAGAGAGTGGAGATGTCAGATAGGACCCACCGTTGTGCTTTGAACCCTGGTTCACAGCTCAGAAGCCAAAGCCCCAATTGCCAGCAGCAGCTATGGAGCTCAGAGGGGCCTTTTATCACCAGTGTGGGGGTTTCAATTACACTCAGTATGTCTCTCATGGTAAAACAAGTAGCACCACAGACTCTTTGCAGTGTGTCAGTTAAGGAAACATGGCCAAGGGTTCTGTTCGAAACTGCTACTCTCTGTGCTAACTGCTGAGAGGCCCCACACTGATGGGCATTGAGTCCTTCTGAGTTCTTGCAAGAGCCAAGCACGTAAAAAGTCTGACTTTGTGTGTGTGCTGAGAGATTAAAGAGCACATCCCCCTTCCTGATAAAGTTTGGAAGTTATTAAGGACATGAACCAAAAGGAAGGTGGAAACTCTGCCCCTTTAAGAAATAGGACTAAACCATCTAAGGTGGATTAAAAATGAGGTAATTGAAATCATGGCTTTATAGGATCATGGGAAAATTGCCTGGAATATTTCAGGCACTATAATGAAGTCTTAGATGCTGTTTCAGTTAAGGGGATTAGCAGGAGTGTCACTGTGAGAACCGTGGACTAAGTGATCTTTCCAGGTACTTTACATGGGTGGAAGCTGCTTATTTGCTTTAAGGGAAGCTTTTCTCTAGCTGTTGTTTCTAGGCTGCTGGGCAGTAGTAAATGTTTATGTTGGTAACTCACTTGTGTATGGAAAGCTCTACCTGTAGTAGGTGTTTCCAGGGGAGGGAAGAAGTGTCTATTGCAAATGCCCTTGTGGTTGTGGTGAAAGCTCCTTCAAAGAATGGGGGAAAAGGGAGTATTGTGAAACACTACTTTTACTGTGTGAATGGCTTTTCAATTGGAGCCAGGAAGAAGAAGCCCCACTGATCTTGCTCCTTCAAGGGAATGCTGCCTCCTTCCCTATGATACGGTATCTGTTTAATTAGAGACTCACATGGCTTTGAATTACAAAGAGAAACAAATGCACTGAAAGGTGCCCTGCTCCTTCAGGCAACTGCATTCAAGGGGGGCTTTATTTGGTCCGTGTGATAAAGAAGATTGTGCTTGGGTATGAAAGAGTAATGCTGATGGAGAGGATGCAGACTACTCAAGGGTATAGTCCTAGGGATACAGTGATAATGTGCTGCTTTTCTGCCCTTGCTAAATGTACTTAGAATGAGAACCAACACAGGAATCTGATGTTTCTATATGCTCAGACTTCTGCAGAGAACACTTGTTTCATGTCCAGAGAGGGGAAACTGTGCTCATCCTCCTTACATGCAGAATGAAGCAGAAGCAGCTTGATGTCAGAAACAAAAAGACTTCCCTTTAGTAAGGGTGAGAGGTATTTATTAACTGTCTGCCAAATCAGGCCGATTTCTGGGGCTTCTCATACACTGACATGCCATCACTCATTAAATCCTGCTTTTTACTACTCTGTGATAAGATACAGGCCCAAGCACTCCATGTTTTTCAGGACCCACACTTGTGTGGTGGTTTTGTTATCATGAGGTTATATTTAGAGCCCCATTGATGTTGTTTTTCATCCCGAGTGCTGTTGGGAGAGTGAACAGCTGATCATTACACTGAGTTTCCTTGTACCCATGAGCACACTTAACCTAGAGCAGCAAACAGTTATTGTACTGCGTTTTGTTTTGTGCCTGTGGGCACACTTAAGTCAATATATGTGATGGCTAGTACCAGGATACTGCATTTGTCTACACCCATGGGCACCCTGAATTGCCAGAGTGAGGGAACTGGTGAATTAACTAGCTGTATGCACACTGGTGTAGTTACTTCAAGAGCAATGCCACTGTTAATTGCTTAACTTAAACCTAATCATAATGGTAAATAACAGAAGGAAAGTGCTGCAAGAATCCAGGTTCTTACAGAAAACGGACAGGAACATTTGTTTAATTCCAAGCCAAAACTGAGGACCAAGATTTTGGGGCAGAAATCTCTATTGTGTATAATTACCCTTCTCTCCCTGTTTTACAGGCAGCAAGCTGCATCAAGCTCATTGCTCTCTCTCTCTCTCCAAGCTTTTCCCTGTATGAAACCTAGCTCAGGGTTGCTGCTTACTCTGTTCATTAGTGAAATTACCAGCAGATGCTTTGTTAGATAGAGGTCACTCTGGCTGAATGCCACCACAACCTCTTCAAATAGTGTGATTGCTAAAGTATAGCTTAGACTCGGAACAGTGCAGGAGGTAATGTTGACACGCTGCAATTACTGCTCAGTCCTCCCAGCATGTTCAAACAACACTGCCTACCTCAGTGCTGACTTGGCAACCTCAGAACTGGATTTGGGATGTGGCTCGTGGATGGCTAGAAAATGGAGGAATTTCAGGAGGACGCCTACATGGAGCATTAGCTTATCTCAAGAGCCTGTGTCTAGTCAGGTCTTCTCAGAACTCTGCTGAAGAATGGTAATTAAATGATAAGGCTGATTCTAAAGTTACATGGGCACAGATGGGCTTGGTTTCAGCGGTGCTGGCAGCCAGTTCTTGCAACTGAAGAAACCTGAAGTGGGAGTCTTAAGTACTCAGCAGAAGACACTACTGCAAGGGGCTGGATTAGCCTTTTCCAGCAGTAGGGCTGCCTTCCCTTACTAGTAAGACTTACCTTTTTTTACCACTTTATAGGACATTGGTGCAAGGAAGGCCAAGCACTGGGAAAATGACCCACGTGTGGACTGGATGAGTGTCACAAAGGATCAGATGAGGAGAAAGGAGAGAGAAGGTGGTAGAAGAATCACTGTCCTTATTACAGTGTAGTGCAGTGCGCTGGTTAAGTTAGGGCTGAGCTGGCTAGAGAATCTCTGCAGTGCACTCTCCTCTCTGCTGATGGCAGGCAGGACTTTACAGCTCTGCTGATGACAACCCTGCGTGGCTTCCTGCTCATATGCATCTTGTAATGAAAACCGATTGTGTTGCAGATGTCTCTGTTGTGACAACTGATGTGACTGTGACTGATGGACCAGATAAGCTTACTCGTGAAGGATCAGGCTAAAATAACTCAGAGATGTGGAATGGCAATTATCCAG